TATCACTTACTTATAATTGTTAAAGGTATTGAAATATATGTATGACAGAAATAGAGAGAAAAATACATTTATTTAATATTTCTATAAGCCACACTATACTATTTAATATACATAAGACTTATTACTGACATAAAAATAAAACATAATTTAATCTTAACAGTATACAATAATATTGTGTGCCGCTAGTTTATATTTAACTAACTGAGTCAGCGACTTCGTCCGCCTATAATAGTTTTTTAACATTTTTTTGCAAACTGTTACCTACGTCATCCGACGCGTCCCATCATTTAAGAGATAGACACTGTTGCGGACATTTTTTTGATAATTCAAAGAAGAATTCTCGCATACATATTTTTGGTGTATCTTGAACCATTTACGCAGCGTACATCATTCGCTTTTATTAGTTACAGCGCCATCTTTTATAGCCTACCTCGATAAATGTTCTAACAAATACAAAAATATTTTTTCAATTCAAATCCGTAGTTCCTGACATTAGCGCGTTCAAACAAACAAACTCTTCAGCTTTATGTATTAGTATAGATATGCATGTATATTTTAACAAATAAACAAATCTCACACTTCTTTCTAAATGACATTCCTAAAATCAATTCATCCATTACAATAAAAAAATGCTTTTGTGCGGTGCCATCATTACGCTAGCCATTGTGGTCCTGTTTTACAAAAACTAAAAAAAAAACAACGAAATAAAAACACGCGAATGTTTATTGTTTGGTTGCCTTTGTGGAAATGTATGTTATGCGTGTATAGCAATTTCCCCCATATGAAAAATATTTGAACCTCAAAACAACATCTGGACTACGAATATAAAATGTTTATTTAAAAATCATATTGTACTTAGGATTTGTGTGGGTGATAGCATTTTGTTTTAATATTACTCATTATATACAGTGGAGAACATTGTGGCGAATTAAGCAAGGCCCAATGTTTTGTTATATAATTTGGTTTACAAAGCAGTTATACTCAATCAATCACTCGTTCTTACGACTACGGGAATAAAACTACTAAGTACTGTCTGTAGCTAACGAGGGTAGTTTTAATAAAACACTATTAACCGTTTAAAACGCTTGTATTGGTTAAACGTTTGCCGCAGCCGGGGTAGTTTTACTGGAAGAGAAAAGCGTCCGAAACGCCGACCGTTGTAAATGAGTTTAACTAATACATTTCTCGTTTTGAACCGTTAATGTGTTTTAAGCTACCGTTTTATATATACATAATATATTAATATAGCGTTCTATTAAAGTAAAGAGATACCCTCCATCTTTAGTCTCCCCATGACCACGGCTCCTGTAAAGCATCCAGAACATCAGACCTTAGTTAAAATAGTTTTCAAATAAGTTTAAGCAATATATATATACGTTTTAAACCGTAGTTAAATGTGTACTACTCGCGTAAGCTACAGACGGTATTTAACATTGTTATATATTTCGTGAAGTCCATCCATGACTCGTTTGGGATCTAGCAATATCCCAAACGATTCTTATCTTACCCTTTGGCAGTGCTTCATAAAGGAGAATGTGCCTCCGGATAATTTACTTTGCCGAGCGCTCGTTACGTCAACGAAGTGGACAAGCTAATGCAGCTAAAGCCTATAATTTAATTATCTGCCGAGACAAATACAAATTAATGACGTACCTGCCTGCTTCATGAGCTTAAATGTTGATGAATTTTTGTCGCAGAGCTCGTTAAACGAAGGCGAATTTAATTAATATTGATTATCTACTCGCTGTGTTTGTGTTCAGTTTTTGAAGCTGAATCTTTCGGGGCACGTTTTATAATGGAACTAGCTGTATCAGTGACTTCGTCCGCATAGTTATTTTGGGTTTTATATATCTCCTTTCTCCATATTTCCCGCTATTTCTTCTCTTCTATTAGTCGCGATGTTACATCCTCGATAAATGTTCTAACTAACACAAAAAGTATTATTCACTTTTTCCACCAATAGATCCTGAGATTAACGCTTTCAAACAAATAAACAAACTCTTCAGTTATATATGTATTAGTATACATAATTCACGTCCGGTTAGTATTCGAAGCTCCCGGCTCAATACGTCAAATCGTAACCAAAACAATGTATAGATAAGACGTTGGCTCCATAAATTCATCTTTCAGCCGCCTCCGTAGCACATTTGTTAAACACGAGACCAGGATTCGAATCCTGGGAAAACAATAAATTATTTCAGTCACACAGGGCACAGAAGTCTGTTCAATTTAAGTAAAATCCTTTAAGTAAAATCGATCAGTGAAACGGACAACGACATTTTCGCCACATTCCATACTGTTATAAATATGTAATAAAAAAAATAAGATTCCCTCCCAGTATCACGTTTTTAAAAAGATTCTTTATTGTATTCGTGGTATTTTCAGGCTACTAACTACTATGGTAGTCGTGATTCTCATGTGGATCTATATACTCGCTACTATTAGCGAGTAAATCTCTCTCTTTCTTCTTTCTATCGATATCTAATTTATTTCTTTTAGAGTTTTATACCTATATTTAAACATTTTTATGAAACCTAGTGGTCTAAATATTCATTAAAAAGATATAATAAGTTTTACTTCGTTCGTGAATATCGCATAATTTTTAGCGCACTTAAAATTCTATTCCGATTACTAGAGAAACGTTTAATATGTATGCTAAGGGAATTTCAATGATTGTAAATGTCTCAGCCTACTCCAGCTAGCCTTCAATGAGCATTGTTTAACTTAGAGCCATGCAACTTCTGCAAATACTACGTACCCAGTTTGTTGAAAATAAGAACTTTTTAAATAGCACTAACGATGAATGAATATGAAGTTTTAAAAGTAGGACACTCACGAAGCCTACATTCAACGGAGCTCAATTATTAGGGGTGGACAGATATTCGGTTCACATGCGAAGCCGAAATACGCTTTAAATAACCGAATTTAGAAAGCAACCGGAATATATTTATATATTGGATGATAGCGTTTATTTCTTATCAAACAGTTTTGTTCACATTTCGAACATACAATTGTTATAAAACTCTTATGCTTTTAGTTTAAAAAACAAATATGAATTAAAATTTTAACCGAATTACGGTTTCGATTCTTCGGAACCATCTCTATCAATTATAATACTTAAATTGTAATTAGTGAGTTACCGTTGTCGAGGCCTTAATTTCATCGTCATTAAAACTCGATTGCAACTATTATTATCGTATAGTTTTTAATGCTTGGTATAAATGGTTATTAATTCTCTTGGCCATAGTTTTGTATTATAATCGTACTTTGAATGTTTTACTTAATCGATTAGCCCTCTTATAATTACAGAATAAATACAAAAAAAAATTGTTTTAAGGTTACTGTTCTAGTATTGTAACAAAAGTACATATCAATTTTACATGACATTATTTTTATGTAAGCGGAATTATTATTTTGATAAGAGATATATATTATACAAGAAAGTATATCCTCTGTGCTATAAAACTACAAATAATGTCATTAGTCTACAATTCAATAAATTTAAACTAAGCTTTATTTAAGTTTAGATGTTTACTACAGATATAAGTTTTTTATCAGTTTGAGAGTGTCATATAGAAATAGGCAGCTGTAAGTGGAAAGCACTTGATAGCTGTGCTGTTCCAATAGGACAAGCAGTCTTTTAATAAGACGACTGCGTAAAAATCTTAACATTACAATTAAACTTGAAAAATCTAGAGAGACTATCTGTCTTACAGTGAAAGTATTTTAGAGTTTTAAATAAAGGTTACGTGCATTTTTTTTCTTTACTTCTCACTCACTAATCAAGGAGGTAGTTAACTATACAAGGCGTTAGTTGTGCTTTTTTTCTCAAATGATCCGTCGATCTCTCGTCGTCAAATGAATTTTAAATAAAACTCTGTTTTAATTTTATAAATGACTTTAATCTTCCGTTTACCTGGAAATCACTTATATTTATTAAAAATCTTAACTATTTATTTACAGTATTGATTATTTATAGATACTTATAAATAAAATAAATTACATTATAATACAGTTGTTCACTATAAGGTTTAGGCTCATATAAAAAAGTTCTTAAAAAAAATGCGAAATAAAAATAACTTAGTCGCGTGAAATGTATACCAAGTTATTTATTCGTTATAACAACAACCATCTCGCAGATTACAAATAAGTCATTTATCTTACAAGTTTTATGCGTTCTTATTTAAATACATTTCAAATACATGACAGTATTTTAACTACTGTGCAAAAATTAATACATACAATTTCACAACTTACAAACGTATTTTTACAACCTATATCACATTTCATTGTTTATCTATATTACGACGTATGCAACACATTTATACCGAGTGTGTCTTAAATAGAGGTTAAATTACATTGTGTACAAAAGTTATATGCTCGAAACTTTAATTTAAAATATGGAGGTCGCGGTAGAACATGACATTTACCATTTATCATTCAGGATGTTTCCTGTTCCCTACGTTTAAAATGCAGGATGAGCTAATTTTCCAAAACTATAGCAATGAGACCCTTAATTTACATAACCAAACAATACATTGTATAGGTGTATCTTAATATTGTCAAGCGTTTATGTACAATTTAGATATGTAATTTGATGAAAGTAATATCATCTCAAAATATATAAAGCCTGAAAGGAATAAAGAAATTAACCTTAAACGTCAAATATTAGGTTGGGGAAATAAATTGTAAAATTCTTTTAAAAGAATAGTGATTGATAACTCGTAAAGTATTGATCAAACAATATCAAGTTTATACGCTTGCACCAACCTAATATAACATTTTGATTAGATGGAATAGAAACGGAGACCAGAATGAAACCACTACGAAGCACGGTTACGCAAATACGAAATATCTACATTATCCGAATTCAATAACACACAGTCCACGACCTATTAGAATCGACTAAAATTGTATGGAGGCACTTTCGCCATGTCAGTCTTGATGAAACACAAATTCATTAACGTTCACACGGTCGTCTCCAAAAGGTCCGAAGATTGTCAACAAAAGCCATCCTTTAAGTCAGGATAACCTAAGTCTGGTAAAGCTTTTCTGGATCCTCTATTATCTGTACGACTATTCCTTCCACGACCTAAACTAGCGTATCTCGTATCACTCAATTTATCTCTTTGCGCTACCTCATCATAGTATCTGGCGTCGTTTAACCCCGCGCTGTATTTCTGGCTGAGACTGTACTTGTCTATAGTAGCATACTTTTGTACTGTAGCGTATTGTCTAGCTGTTTCCGGAATACCGTTAGCCTTCGCTCGATCGTATGGTCGTTCTTCTGCTTGCAGAGCGCCATCTAAGCGAGCTTTGAATTCTTTATCTTTTTTCCTTCGTCTCTTACATGCGCAGAGAGCTATCGCAATCGCACATATTAACAAGCCTACACCAACAGCTGCTGCTACGTAGGGCGGTGGTAATGAAATTCGGAATGAACAATTCGAGTCATCTTCGTCGTACCCTGACGGACAATGAGCGCTGCCGTCGCACCACAAAGTGAGGGGAATACATGCGTTTAATTCTGGACAGCTGGAACAATAAAAAAACACAATAAGAAAATGAAACAAGTAAAGTGAATAACTTAATTTGTAAATATAATAAAGATACTTACTGATATCGACAGTCGAGGAGGACAGAGGATGGAAGATCGCTGATGTCTGGATCAGGATTTTCTACAGATGGTTTTTTCATAATCTCTATCCACTTAATTGAATAATCTGCTTGCTCGTGTTGTAAAAAGTCTATAACAAAGCTCTTTGCGTGTGGTTTCAGTGAAGATTCTATTGAGGTCAGAGCCGATTCCCAACCGGGAGAATATAACTCCATTAGACTAGATGTATCGGGACATATCTCTCTAGATCGTGTTGTATCATAAGCTTCATATACGAATAAGCGATTGGGTGTTGTACAGAATGGAGATGATTTACTGATTTCGTAGCCAGGCACTTTTAGGTAGAGGTACCGCCCTTGGGTAGGAGTGACTTCATCTCCACCAGGTTCAATTAGCCATGGTCGATGTACACATGCAACTTCTGCCTTTACGCTCTCAGATATAACATGTCTATCACTAATGATTTCTGGTATTATAGCAGATTCTCTTTTATCAAATAGCCTTATTTCTCCACTGCTCCCCCTTAACCGTCTTTCACCCCAGCCTGTAGAACATACAGTTTCGTCGCCCGGGCCAGTGGGAATAAACTTGTATTCACCTTCGAAACTAAAGTCGTCGTAATCTTCTGTGATGTTCATCATAGTAACAGTGAAGTTGACCTCTACCACGGGAGCTGTTAACGTATGAATGTTGAGAGGTTCAGAGCGGTTTGTACAAAGGCAATCTCTTTTTATGGGAACTCCTTCCCAGGGGTATTCCGTGATAATTATCTGAGCTAGACCCTCCCCACCTATAGTTCTCTTGAGAGGCCTGTTGCATACCCAACGGCTGGTTCTCGAGTCTTTATGCGTTGTACAATGCTTGTTGCCGAAATTGTTATTAGTGAAAATTAGTTGAACCCGTTCACCGTATTTGGCTTCGAACCTGCAATAGAAGATAATGTAATGACATGGCCTATCAGTACATAAATAAATTTTAATTTATATGCCAAAACATTGACCCTATTATCATAAAGGTAAAATTTAAAATATTTTCATTAACAATATTTCTCAATTTACTGCCTCCGTTGCCTAGCATTACATAATTTTCGTAAATGTAATTATATAATGTTTCGGTCAGGCAGGGCACAAGAGTCTGACCTGCCTGTAAATAAAATCGATCACTATAACAGACGCAGTAGTAGTCTTCGTAGCCCCACAGGGAAAACAGAAATTCACTTTACATTTCTGAATATGTTGCAAAAGTTATGAAATTTTGTCCGTCTAAAATATGTAGAGCTAGAGCAGCATACCGCAATATGCACGTGAGGTTTTGTGCGCCACCGCGGCCGTAGTAAAATATTGCTCGCGGCGCCTGAAATCTTCCCGAATACGTCTGAGCAGATTTGAAAACTCTATCGCAAGCGGATTTGGAGTCTAGAAGCGGTTGGCCTTGTTCGCTCACGTCGACGAACTCGTATCGAAGCAGGAACGACACGGGGTACAGGGCGGATCCCTGGCGTAGTTCCTGCGACACAAAAATAATTTAAGAACAATAGCCAAATACAGATAGTAAAATAGACTTTGTAAGAGTATGTTGTAATTCTTAGTTTATTGTATATTTTATTTATCGATGTTAAGCTTTGTCGTAAGTGTTTGTTGAGTAGTAATTAAATAAAACTTTACTTATTTATATAAAAACGGTTTAAAACGCGATATATATTAGTTAAACTTATTTTAACTACGGCCTGAAATTTCGGGTGCTTTGCACGTGGTCACGACGGAGGCTAAAGATGGAGGATGTCTAACGTCAAAGTAAAAACTGCTACGCGGCATTTGTTCCTTCTAAGTTGGTATTTAGCAAAATTGGCCGGGTCTTTGCAGAATTGATTATTGACGTTTTTGCTGTTTCAAACCGTTAAATTGTTTTATTTAAATGTGTACTCGCGTAAACTACAGACAGTATTTTGTTTACTTATTTGCAATTTATTTTAACTGCGGTCCGATGTTTCGGATGCCTTACAACAGCCGTAGACTCAGTTTAACAGCAGCAGTTACGGGGGGACTTAAGATGGACGGTGTCCCTAACTTTAAAGGCGCTAGCGTAACAAATTTGATTTGACTGGATGTTTCAGACGCTTTATTGAAATTTATCTATGTTGTTATTGTAAAAATAAACTTTACTTTTTTACTTTTATTAATTGTCAATAAAAGTAACGATACGCCTTCAACTAGATTACATATATGATGGACGCTAATTATTCACAATTAATAATTACAGCAAACCGTGGAATATATATTATGTTAAACAGCGGTTAGTTTAAATGCTTAACTTGCAGAATAACTTTAAATATTTAGTTAGGAAACTTGGTTCAGTCGTCTTCTATACTTAATATTGCATAACAAAGTAACTCCCAAGTTGGACAACTTGTACAAAACCAGTTTTCATATTAATATACAAACCACCTGCTCTGAAGAAATAATGTTTTCACAAGCTATTTCAGTGTAGGAACTAATTTTCTGATTGCGTCTGACGTGAAGTAATGAAAAAAGCACAATGTTGTAATTTGTGTCTAGTTACTTGTTGTTCTCTAGTCTTCCTTAACAAGGTATGAATTGAAAACCATTATTATTTTTGCACATGAAGGTACTACATAATTTCAAAAATGTATGAATTGATAAATATTATAATGATACATGGCATAACGATAAATAATTCTCCTAATTTTGTTCACATGTCTCGCTGTATCTTCGTTTGTATTAGTCACAGGGCGATGTTTTGCAGCCTACAGAATTCCTCGTTAAATCCTCTAACGAACACACAAAAAAGATGTTTTTAATTGATGAACCGGTATTTATGATTTAAATAAAACTGTGTACAATAACCAAAGGAAAAAATCGCTTAACACATGAAGCGCTAAATTCATCATGTTAAAATGCGCATTGTATACTAGGGTGAATAAACAAATGTTAAATTAATAATTTAATTGCAAGCCGCAGTGAAATTTGTCGAAAATTCTATACAAAATATAATGATTTAACAAAAGTTAGCGCGGTAACCGAAACCACAATTTAAGTCCCACAACTATTTGTATGGCTTTGTACCTATTTTCTAGTGCGCTTTGTCGTTAAATTATTAAACTCTATGTACCATAATTAGTGACGCCGCAACGATTCGGTTCGACCTTTGTTGTGTATTTTAATAAAACTCTGCGGAAATAGGTTTGGCTTTTGGGATTAGGGCGTTATTTTGTTATAGAACAATGGCGTTTACGACGAAGCTTAAAAAGTTAATTTAAGTTAACATAGGCGTTGTAGACAATGCTTATTGTCATCAAATTAATTTCTACGAAAGAATAAACAGGTGACGTCTTTGATGTCTTTGTACCTATGCTCTACCAAACATTTACAGCATGGACCTTTTATTTAAACAAATACAACTTAATGACCTTTCTTTGAGCTCAGAAGGTCTGCAGTACGCAAAGGAGGCTTGGATCTAAACTCCTTATTTATTGAAAATGTTTACTGTTGCAGTACTCGTCACGCAACCCTTTGAATCTGCACGCCCCGAAACACTTGGCGTGTGTGTGACTTAAGAAAATGGACACGATATGAGCGGACGCGTTAGCGGTATTATCTAGTCTGTAATTTACGCGCGTAGTACATATCTAATAAAACGCTTTATAGTCTAAAACGTTATATGTATTATGTATCTAATTTTTAGTATTCACCACAGATGCTACAAAGGATCCGATACGTCAGTTCCTTGTTATTCAATTTATATTAACTTTAAAGCTTATGCAACTGATGTTAACTATAACATCAATTCTATGCTTGTGTTTTAAATATTTAAGATTTTTTAAGCAAGGACACACATTATGAAATTTATTACTTCGAAAATATTTTGTCTTGGTAATATTCTTATTATATGTAATATTTTGATAAGATTTGGTATACGCAACTAGTACACTAAACGTAAAACGCCTTTAACGTAGTGTAGTAAAAATAAACCAATATAGTTCGCATTAATTAATTATTAATTATTTTAAAGTAATGTATGGATTTATGGTCTGACAAATAAATTATTATTATTATTATTAACCAGTTAGAAAAAGTTTCAATGAATATAATTGTGATATCAATATGTCTTCAACGGAAAATTATAGATTCCAAATTTTTTATTGTTTTATTAATTCTAAGCTTTAATATATATTATGGATCGAAAAATTGTTCTCAAATCATTGAACTAGAAAAGTATTTATTTAACAACGAAATTAGTAGTGATCCTTAAATACATTTCTCTGTCTTTTTTCAGTTCTGCGCTCAATGAGATCACTCGTCTTGACGGTTACTTTAAAATCGCTATCGCTCCCGCTGTGAATGTGGTCCGGTTCTTATTTCTAGTAACAAGTAAGGCATGGTGAAGTGTAAACGTGCCCGATGCATTATTCACTATGGCGAGTGCAACGTGACTTATCTCTCGCGACTGTGAACTGACTGTATGAATGTGTACTTATAGGCCTCTGTGACTGAAAGAATCATCAATGGCCTGTGACTTTCAGAACGTGAATGTGAAAAAAAGCATTGGTACTATTTTAAACTAGTGGAGCCAATTCATACCATTCAATCTGGATAGATATTTTTTACGATAGAGGAGGCCAGACGAGCGTGCGATTCAAATGATGGTGACATACCACAGCCTAAAGCATCTAAACAAGAAGCGCTGTCTACCTATTTTGGCTTGGGATATTCGGAAATCCACAGACTGAAGCTGAAACACTTCACGGTTTTTTAATCTGGTGGTCCGTGAACCCGGACGAAATTTCGATATTGTTACAGCCCATTTAATGTCCAGTTATCCAGACGAAGTTCAACATGTTTCATAAAAATTAAAAATTGATTTTTGAAAGATGTCCAATCGAATTCAGATAGATAAGCTATGCTCCGACCAACGAGCCCGGACATATCCGGAAAAATATTATAGAGCACTTACAACGATCGTCACGTAGGATACGTCTGGGCGATTTGTCGTCTGTCATATTTGTTGATATATGAATAAACGTGTGTGTCGAGCGATTTTATACAATGCGATGCGACGCGAAACAGCATATCGGGCGAAACATACAGAACGAAATTGGTTCAGTTATCTCTTACAGTTGTCTTGACGCTTGCGTTGAAAATTTTATACTACCTAGTATCTTTTATTTATTTTACAGCTATTTCTTTTATCGTTTAATAAAAACATAATTGATAGCATATACTCGTGGGCAATTAAACACCTTAGTTTAGTTTGAAAAGTCAATAGATTTTCCTAGAAGACGCGTTAGTCTAGCGTTTATAATATCAAATATCGTTATAGATATACAATGTCACCAAAAAATTATTACAAAAAACATGATACTTTTTAAGCAGATACATATTTAAAACTACACAGTAGAATTTTAGTTTAAAACCCCCTACGTGTTCATTTCATTCTCTTTTTTACACGCAAGAAGCGGATTACACAGAAACTTTTATTGTTTTACCCCTGAACTTCGAACCCAAGACTTCTCGTACTTAACGTATCCCTTGGACCACGGTGAGGCAATAAACAAAGTTCAATCACACTGTATATCAAATACTCCGAACATAAAATCTAAAAACAATAGAAGTTGGAACAAATACAACTTTAGTTTGAAATAGTTTTGTTTGTTATACAGAATGTAAATAAACAAAACGATCGTTGAAACAATAAAATGTAAAATACATCTTCTCCGTGAATAAATATAGTACGTTGGGAGACTGGTTGAACTAATGACTACTGAAGTTTGTGCGTTACATTTTTCAGTTGAATAGCGACATGTGGCGATGTTATGCATAGTTGAGTAGTCCCAAATGAAAGCACATTGTAATGAATGAAGCCAACAATAGGTCTCCATACGAGATATGCTAGTAATCTTATTGTACTCTATAAGCAAGCTATGGGGTTTAATAAATATTAAAATGCACTGCTATAACCAAAACAGTAGTGTACGTAAGTGCTTTAGGTTGGGTCTATAATAAAAGTCTCGACATCTGCTGCAAAGCATCCGAAACGTCGGGCCGTAGTTAAAAAAACATTTTCAAACAAGTTAAACTAAAATATATCGCGTTTTAAACCGTTAAAGGTTTTATTTAAATGTGTACTACTCGCGTCAACTATAGACAGTATTTATCTATCTTCTTTTTTAATTTTCTTAAAAATCCATATTCACATACTTTGAGTATGAGCAAAACTCATCAACTTAGCAATTATGAAAACCGACAATTAATTATGAGTTCTCGCATATTAATTAAATTCGCAGCATGTGTTTCGTCCCACTAATTGTAGCCAGCACGGCTGGTTGACGCGTTCATGATTGATACAGCGAATGTTACCACAAATGCATCTTGCGTGTTTGCCATACGATACCGACGTAGTAATGTCTCGTTCAGTCCTGGATTTAAACGTATTCTGATACGAGAGTTTACGTAGGGAATCCGTTTATTTGTTAATCTTACATTTATCAAACAGACGGGAAGATTATATTAGTATTTTGATTTGATAATAAAAGCGTAACATTACAGTGCTTTGTACAGTTACGAGTAAAATGTACACTTAAATCAGAACAAACAGCTGTGCGGTGCCTCTCTACAAGAAATAACTTATATTAAAAGGTTTTCTTGTAACGGAAGGTAAAGCTTATTCTTTTATTTACATTTTAGTATGTTAGTGTCTTAGTACCAACTACCAAGTAATACTAGTAACTTACCATTATCTATCTATAGTAATATATAAAGCCGAAGAATTTGTTTATTTGTTTAAGCGCACTAATCTCAGGATCTACCGGTTTTAATTGAAAAATTCTTATTGCATTGGTTATAATTATTATCAAGGCAGGGCTATAGAATATTGCGCAGTGACTAATAGGAGCGATGAAACAGCGGGAAATGTGAAAAAACGAGGAAAATTATTATTTTTGTGGGTTTCCGATGCGTACGCTGCAAAAACAAGATCCCCAAAAAATGTGTATGAAGAATTATTCTCTCTTGAAACGATCTAAAAAAATGTCCCCAACAGTACTACTAACTAATTCGAATGCCGAATCGGATGATATATATCATTTACTATCAAAACTATCTCCAACCTCGAACTCATTAGTCGGACCCAACAAAAAGCCAAGATGGCTCTAAAATAAAAGTATATGATAAGACGTGTAACTGTATTCGTTTGATAATAAAGTTAATGCGAGAGAGCATGTATCAATATGTTGAAAAAATTCAATTGTAGAGCAACAACACGGAACTTGGACGGCGATTCAAGTCCAGCCGTGTCGTAAAATAATTCTTGATAAATAAATCTAAAATCGATTTTTCACTAAAGTCGACAGACAAAAATAGGGTACACTCGATGGGAGGAATACCCCAGCCGTATACCATCTATACAAATGGGCGATGTCGTCCTATTTTGGCTTTGGATATTCAGAAATCAAAAAATATTTACTTCTCACCTGAAGTATTGTAAGAGCTGGTCCTGTTGTAATGTAACTCTCTGATGGTGCGCACGGTCTGGTAGCTCTTGTTGCATTTGAAAGTAGCGCATGGTCACATAGGCGTGGAGATTCCTCGCGGCAGAAGGAACCCAGCAGCAACTTTTTATCAGTCATCTCCAACTATAGTATGAAAGAAAGATGTAAATGTCATTAGTTATATGATTAAAGATGTAATATTAATGTTTGGTACTTTAAGGTAGACCGCCTCTGTAGCTAAATGGTGAAACGTATTGCCTTAAGCATTGCGTCAAGCGCGAGAGGTCCTGGGTTCGAAATCCAGGGAAACAAAAAGGGGAACGGATCAGTGAAACGGACACAAAATGTGTTCGCCCCATGCCCCACGAGGGGGAAACGGGATTTCACACACACTTTAAAGGGTAACTTAAAGTGTTAGTCTTCATGGTTCAGTAGTAACTATTGCTTAAGGTACATAGTTGATTCAAATGACGGGAAAATATAGTAACATTAATATACCTATAAGCTGTTGAAGAAGTTTGAAATACATTATTTCTTTTAAAAATCAAAAATATATTGAAAAAATTTTCGACTCGGGCAGGTCTCGAACCGGCATTGTCAGCGTTCAGTGCTGTTGCTCTTCAAGTCCTGCCCGAGTCGAAATTCTTTTCAATTTATTTTTGAATGGATGCTATGTTTATAATATACATATTTAACATTTTTCTAATACATAAATAATCTAAGTGTTGTAAATTAACGAAGTTTAAATAAAACACATTAACGGTTTAAAACGCGATGTATATTAGTTAAACTTATTTGAACATTATTTTGCCTATTATATAACCCTTAAAGTGTTTTATTTAAATGTGTACTACTCGCGTAAATTATAGACAGTATTTAATTTACAAAGTCATATACAACATAATTGTATTATACCAAAAGTTTACCCGCTCCGAGACTTATTTGATATTGTGCTCGTAAAAAAGATGTAAAATCTTCTCGAAAGTTTGTTTTATAACTTTACCTATAAGATAAATGTGTGACAGAGTACCACACAGGAAATAAACCCCGTTTTACTTGAGAGAACTGGAAATTATTTAGGTTAGATTTTCTCAAATAAAATTCCTAAAACTCGCATTGAGTCTTGTATAGGGTATGAAATTTATATATGTATAATAAATACAAATAACCGACAGGCTCGTTGTTCTAATAGTAGCAATACAATGCCCGCCAGTGGGTCGCGGGATCGATTATCAATGGACGCAATATTTCCTACACCACAATAGTAGTACACATTCAAATAAAAAACTTAACAGCTTAAAACACGATATATATTAGTTAAACTTATTAACAATTTATTTTAACTAGGGCCCAACGGTTCGGATGCTTTACAGCAGCCATGGTCACTGCTCTCTCATGTAAGTTTAACTAATATACATCGCGTTTTAAACCGTTAAAGTGGTTTATTTAAATGTATAAAATTTTCGGTTTCAATATAGAGCTTTAAATTTAATTAAGTTTTCATCTATCATTAAAAACACGCATTACGTAACTTCACAAACATGCTCATATTTACCAGTCCGATAACAAAGCAAGTATCATTTATTAATAAGAAAAATACAATTCCAAATACAAACATGTCAACACACATTCCGGTAATAGCTACGTTGAACTACACTCAGTTTAATTAGAAGCTATCGATTGATTTCCATTTAAAAGTAACGCAGAGAAAATTATAGCTTACAATACTTCGACCATAGAAGCATCGATCTAGATTTAATCTAGCCAGTAATAACCGTTCATATCTAGAATTTTCATTGTGCAACTTAATCCGTACTGTTACATATTGTGGTTGAATGAATACATAACCTAGTTTTGTAGGAAACTGGGAGATTTATTCTGACCAGGTGTACTCATGCGAATATTAAAATTATGCTTTCAATTTCTGAGTATATTGTAAATAAAAAGACGCGGACTGATTTGATTTCAATATTTATATTCAAATCATAATGAACTTTTTAAATAAAACACTTAAATTAAACTTTACTTTTTATATATTTAAATGCAATTAATATATTTCGCGTTTTAAGCCGTCATAGTATTTTATTTCAATTTACACTACTGGCGTAAACTAAATACATATTAGATTCTAATTCTTCTTCTCCGCACATCACTCAAGTTGACCATTAGCTCTATGAAGACGGTTCTTTAACGAGATATAGCCATGCTTCGACGGTATCTATTCCCATCCCCTCCATATATTTGCGTAGCCATGACTTCTTCCACCTACTACTATGCTGTCTGCTTTACATTTTCCCCATCAAGCTATCTGGAGGAGGCAATAGATGTCATATCGTTTGGTTTGAGTGATAGATATTTTTTAGTTATACCACAAGAAAGATAAGGTAAACAGCTAGTCCATTAGTTTAGTTGTAATTGAGAAATTATATTTTTAATTGCACTAGAGATTAGATTCACATTCTTCTTAGTTGCAAAAGGTAATAGTTGAAATCTCCTTGCAATGAGTAAATCATGGTTCAGTGAAACGTAGAAATGCACTCTTATAAACATGAACTTTAAGATTCCAGGTATTTCATGACACAGAAAACTTTTGATTAAAGTGCCAACAAAAAGTTGTGCTCATCCGAACTCAATGCAATACGAATGTCGGATGAATGAAAACACCGCACTGCAGCGCAAAGTGGGGAAGTGTTCAGACACATTAAAGAAAATTAATGTTTGGCTCCGGCATCAAGTGGGTAGGTTGGCAAAGTGAAATTGTACGGAGCCGATTTGCTTCAATTTTAAATTCCACTAGCTTCCGCCTGCGGCTTGGCGTTATTTCGGAGGAACTTAATGTTTCTGTTTCATATATCGTTGTAGTTTCATCAAAATTCATTCAGGATATCGCTTACAAAAATAAATAAAAACGATACTTATCTATACTAATATATAAAGCTGAAGAGTTGGTTTGTTTGAACGCACTAATCTCAGAAAATACCGAATTTCGAATTGAAAACTTTTTGTGGAGGAAGTCGCGGTGTGTCATAGGAGCAAAGACACAGCGAGAAATGTGGAAAAAATATTCATCTTTGTATGTTTCCGATGCGTACGCTACAAAAACGGTTCAAGATACCCGCAAAAATATATATGAAAGAACGATTCTCTCTTTTAAATGATCTAAACATATCTAGAATAGTATATGTCTATTTTTTAAGATTAACTTGCAAGAACATCAGCACACGGTCGACGTGGTGGAAAACGGTGAAAATTTATAAAAAGCCAACAAATTTTGATGCCCACATACGAAGTCGCAGACACAGCTAGTATATAATATAAGACAATTTACACCTCAACCATAAGATTAGCTCCACTAGCTACCTGCTATGACACACCTTACTGTTTATGTCAGTAAGAATTATTTATAGAAATTACCTTTCTATCGAGATCAGCGTCCGGTGCTGCTCCATCCCAAATGGTCAGTTGTGAGGAGCAGTCCTTCTGCTGATCGAAGCCAGCGGGCTCGGTCCCTGCCGCATGGTATTTCACAAAAGATACCCACACGACTTCATTTGGACGACCCTGTAAATATGTTTCTTTTAATAACAAGTAAACATAGACACACAAAAGTAATGAAGATATCTCGAGTTAAGTTGAGACGAACTTAAATATTTCCGTTTAGTTACACATATTTTATTAAAATTACGACTCGCGTAGAACTTAAAAAATTGAGCTATCGTTTTTTTTTAAATTTATAATCTATTTTTAATTTTACAGTGCCATCATGTACAAAACCATGTGAAAAATATAAAAGTATTCAATTTTTTTTTAAATTTTTCACATATCCAACTACATATATACGAATAATACTTAAGCCTTATACCATGTATATCAACACATGGTATATGAGATTATACACATTTAACTGTTATATTATGTTCCATTTACATATAACAGTTATAAATTTCAATATGTTTAGTGTGTAAATTAATGGAGAAAATCTTAAACTATCTCGCTTGTTAGGGACACAAAATATTCTTGTCCGCGACCCAGCTTAGTTGATGGGTATCCTTTTCAGTTGAAATTTTATCGGACTTTTTACAATCAATTCTTTTGATGGATATTGTTAAATAATGAATAAACTTATTTTTTATAATAATATTTTAATCTAGTTAATAATATAATAAAAGTAAGCTTTCGGTAACCATAATTAAATATGACAGTAGACTCGAAGCACTCGAAGTAAATATAATACAGTACAGAACAAAAATCTTCGCTCAATTCTTTGTTCACAGTACTCATGAAATCTTTTATCGCTCATAATAATAATTCTAGACGTTCAGAGATAAATCAAGATTTATTGTCTTCTCGGATTAAAATAAGCCAAGAAACAAAATATAGCGTCTGTTTTAGAAAGGTAATTTTGCGTCGCGTTACTCCGAATGGGTACTATTCATCTTAAGACTTGGATTATACAGTATTAAAAACGAGAAGAATTTACATACCAAATGTTGCTATATTTTCGAAGTTAAGTTCGTAACGGCGTAGCGTACAAAATAAGGAATTTAGGTTTCCTACTGACTACGTGTACAAGAATTCTCGAATTTAAATCGAGGGAAAATTTCGCGGATATGTCCGTAACATTTCTAGAATATCAGACGTTTAAATTAAGTTCCAAATACAAAATTACAGGAAATACCTTATTGAATTGAATAATTAATTATTTTAAGTAATTCAATAATCTTGTAACACATTTTATCCTGAATTCAAACATGTACAATTATTTAAAAAAACCCTTTAACGGTTTAAAAATTAAAACGCGATATATTAGTTAAACTTATTTGAAACTGATTTTTAACTTTGGCCCGACGTTTCGGATGCTTTGCAGCAGCCGTGGTCACGGGGAGACATGTCTCTGACGTCAAAGTAAAAAAATGCTACGCTAGCGCCATCTGTTCCGTCGAAGTTAGTATTTGGCGAATCGCGAATATCTATATCTAATATATCGCGTTTTAAACCGTTCAAGTGTTCTATTTAAATGTGTACTACTCGCGTAAACTATAGACAGTATGTACAATTATGATTTTTATATTTCCGCATTCCCCTTATGATTCATAATGCAGACACAATTCTGTGGCTGTTTGTTATTTTTATTCACAAGTAATAAATCAGACCCTGCCCAACCGAAACTAATGATGCATGACAGAGGTTTGAACCTAGGCCTAAGACAATACTCGGTAACGTGTTAACCACGTTTCCTATATGCATACCGCATTGTTAATATACATTTTACCTTATTAGTAATTAATATGCGTCATTGAGCCGAAATAGTAAATGAAGCTAAAATTATTCCACCGAACAATATGTCTATTGATTTCCGAAAACGTCACGCGTTTGTTTATAATCTACTGTAAAATGTGTACGTATTATTTCTAACACTTGTCTCTATTATTAAGTATTTTTAGTACCTATTTAAAAAAAAAAACTATACGTTCGTTACCCATATATACAAAAAGTCTGACGTAAGTATCTAGTTTTCTTCCTTGTTAAAAGTAACCCGAAGTTTTCCAGTTGGATGTAAAATATATTTTTAAAAAGATGATAAAGCTATTAAAATTTGAAACTACTATTTGTTTTACTGATCAGAACAGATAAAGACTAACTGTTTTATTGATAGAGTTGGACAGCGTGGAGATTTACTTGATGGAAGGTGAAATTCTAAAGTCAAATAATAACATCTTAACAAACGTGCCGTTGACTTAATTTAACTTTGAACTTTCGGAGAGAGATCACGGATTCATTTTAGATAAATATTCAAGACTAAATATAATATAATTATACAAGCATAGAACATTGTAGTACAAAGTAATTAGAAGTGAAATATTTAGATAAATATTTCACTTCTAATTACTTTGTAGATACAAGAAAACAAAAATCGAATTTAAATTGAAGAGTTTAGGATTTGAACAGGTCACCACAGCGTTCCGTGCTCTTGCTATAATTAGGTTTTATTTTTCAATTTATAATCGATGTTTAATTTATATAGTGTCATCTTGTGCAATAACATGTGAATAATATTAAAGTTTTCAAACAATAAATGTTAATTTATCGCCCTGTACAGCATGATAAATACAATACCTGAAAATAATAAACACAGGACGTGTTCGGTGGTAACGAGTGCCTCGGATTACGCAGCACGCCACTCGTCCTGTCAGAGGAACGTAGGACGAATCGACACCTCCCGTCGGACCCCACGTACGAGTGCGAATCCTTATCCACGTACAGTACCTGTCAGGAAATATAATCTTTTGTCATCGACTGTACATTTTTATAAAATACAGTAGAACCCGTTTATGACGATCACACTTAATACAATTTCTCCAATAATACTTTAAGTTCCTGCTAAGCGCATAACAAAATCCAATCAAAACCAATCAATTTAATAACACTGGGTATGAACAGGTATCCACAGCGATCCGTGGTGTTGCTTTAAACAGTTGACCTACCGTGTCTCTTACGTCATCATTGCCTACGTCATCGAATTATAGTTTTAATTTAACCTTGATCATATCTAGCTGCATAATATTTTTATTATAGACATCAGCACGCCAATTATTTTTATATTAAAAATGTATACTGATAACAAATTTAAAAAAAAAATTGAAATAAAACAATTTAACGGTTATAACGCGATATATTAGTTAAATTTATTTGGAAATGATTTTTAACTTCGGCCCGACGTATTCAAATGCTTTGCAGCAGCCGTTGGTCACGAGGAGACACACGGCTGCTGCAAAGCATCCGAAACGTTGGGCCGAAGTTAAAAATAATTTCCAAATAAGTTTAACTAATATATCGCGTTTTAAACCGTTAAAGTGTTTTATTTGAATGTGTACTACTCGCGTAAACTATAGACAGTATTTAAATAAAATCGTTAAATTACCTGTACTTCTAATTCAAATCCAGGCAAATAGCTCAGCGGTACCGGATGGAATGGGTTGTCATATGGAGATGTATGAAATTCCAATAACATTTTAGGTCCCCTACTAACTATGTCAGGGACGGCATCTCCTCCACAAAGCCTGACAAGAACCGGAGAGTCCCTCGTCGGACCGTCCCAGACGGTTAAATAGTCTTGGACTACGTTACATTGGTCCCAGATCCTGTTAAAGATATTAAGATGTTATTTTTTTAATGATACGACAAACAAGCATATAACATCTAAACAACGTGCGGTGTGGGCCTTTTTTGGCTTTGGATATTCGGAAAGCCAAAGACTAAAAGAAACTTAAACTTCACGGCTTTTTTCATCGGTGGATAGCTCATCACCGAACGGAATTCCGATATACCTACCACCCATTTGTTATCCAAGTTTCCAGACGAGGTCCAATATGTTTTTAAATGTTGGACCGAAGGGGAATGAACCCACGACACGTTATTATTAGCCGCACGTTGAATATTAGTTTATTGCTACCAATACGAGTACACTCATACAAAACATTCAATTCGTGTGAATAAAATATTCTCAACGGTTTAAAACTTACTTGAGAACACGTTGACTTCTGTCATATTTAACTATTTGGTCTTTGATATGTATTTTATGGCTGTTGGTTTGTCTGACTGCTAACAAAACGTGTTTGTCTGCTGGTATCTGAAAAATTAATACTATTTAGAATATTGCTTATACTTTATTACCTTTAATATATGCCCTCAACCATACTTATGTGTATATTGTATCTCCTATGTGAGACAGGGGACAAACACATATCTATGTCTGTTTCAGTGACCAATATTAATAATTGATCAGAATTATGTGCTCTGGCCGATTAATGATCTTTAAGATACGTCACGGTCAACACCTATGCTATGCATCTAAATAGAACGCAATTAACGGTTTAAAACGAGGAAGTGGTGTAACATAACTACGACCTGGCGCGTTTCAGATGCTTTACAGCAGCTGTGGCAACTGGAGACTGAAGATGGAAGGTGTTACTTATGTCAAAGCAAAATCTACTATGCACAAACAGCGCTAGAGATAGTACTTAGTAGATATCTCTTCACTACAAACCAAGAACACATCAACAGAGTCACAAAGATAAACAAATTACACAGGCACATATATCCCGAACGTCCGCGAGCGAGCGTTAATATATTATGTGTTGTATCTCGTACTCTGGTGTGAATTTTAAATTAAATATTAATACAAACAGCCGCATCAACCACGCGACCGATTGTCGGGTCGCCTCCCTCTGAATTCGTAACGAAACCCAGATCTATGGGGCATACGTAATATTACGCTTTTGTTTTTTATTGCCCAGTCAATTATACGTCCTCGGATATTTATGGCCGTGGATATTCGCTTTACGTTTGTGCTGGTAATGGCGTTTTATTCATACAATTTTATATCGCTGATGCTTTCAAATACAGTTTATAATATAAAGGATTGTAGTTAGTAAATAGTAATCATTTCAATAAAATAGTTTTAACTTAGAAACGCGAAATTATAGTTAGCTTAGTAACAATTAATTTTACTAGGAACCGACGATTCGGATGTTTCGTCGCACAAACATACATATAGATGTCAAAATCGCTAATTAACAACAATCAGATGGCGCTAACGTAGCAGACATTAGGGATACTCTACATCTTCTGTCCCCCCATGACCATGGCTGCTGCAAAGCCTACGAATCGAGTAGGCATAAGGCAACTGAACGACGAAAATGACGTCATACTTGCGGTGCAAAGATGTGTCGGTTTTATTATATTTTCCTTTAACGTATTACACGGCTTGGTTTAAAAATTAAAAAGTTTGAGAAAGGTAATATAACATCTCTCGAATTTTTAGGTACTGAGAGCTATGTACGTAGTTTAGTAGTGAAGTACATACATTTAAGATTTTATTTGATAGACGATATGTGTTTTTTATACTTATGCTACCTTATTAGCTTAACAAAGGTATTAACATATACCGACTATATTACTATACCGACAATATATATATCGTTGAAGATTCATAAACAGTTTCATTGGTTATCCACGATTGTAACTCCGTGTAACACTCAAATCGCTATTCAACTGACAGCAACTGTCACTTTACACGTGCAATTCGGGGAACGCTTAACTGCGGATGTACATCTATAGTCCGATGTACCATTATATAGTCCGGCCACCCGGATTCCCAACAGCACGTAACTTTCTCACCTTAGTATGCTCGATGCGATAGGTACACGTCGCGTTTCTCGGATACACTCCGGGGAAGTTCGGAGACTGTATCCTGCAAGCGCGAAGATCGCAGTCACTCAGTATTCGGTCGCAGTACGTTCCGGGGACCGACTCCCCCCTCCAGGCCCCCACTGTGGCGTTCCCGAAGCGCAGTCTTGCCTCGCTCCGTCTTAGAAACTTGTAAGCCAACTTGAAGTCGAAATTGTATCCAACACCCTAGAAACGCTCTAATTACTGACGTATTCCATTTGCAATTTCAATTGTCATAAGTCAGAGTAACTTGATTCAAGCAGCTCATACTAGAACGCATTTTGTCATAGCGAATTTCAGTACATTATACAGACAATAATTGAAACATGATTTCAATATTTTATATTAGACAAATAGCGCGATATGCATCTCGCTTTTGTCATTTCGTTGTCTTTCTTATGTGTGGAAATCAATACTAAAATTATAAAGCTGAAGAGTTTGTTCGAAGATGCTATCGTCAACATTTATTGAGAAAGGCTTTATTTAGGCCCTACAATACCATGTTTCGACCAGTAGGGCAAAGAAACAGTTGGAAATGTGGAAAAACGGGGGAAAATTATTCAAATTTGAGAGTTGCAAGCACGAATCAGGATACCCAGAAAAAAGGTGAGAAATAACGATTCTTTTCGAGTGATCTAAAATACTCTCCGACAGCATTTCTCCATTTTTTTTAATTCACTTCCAAGAACGACGGGACGCGACCGACATCGTGTGTAATAGCTATATTTATTTATAGGAGGAGGAGATTTCAAAAAACCAAATTATGATACCCAAAATAATATTATACAATATTTGATAACTCTTTCGAAAAAAAGCACCTTTTCTTCTATTATCAGAACAACAAGCATTATTTTGTTTAAGTTGAATCGTCAACTATTCAAATTGTTTCAACGGATTTATTAAATCTCATTTCGTAATAATTCAAGTAATTCGGCGATTCCAAAGAGTTATGCCGAGTAATTTTCGCGTATAGCTGAAATGACGAAATTTAATCAGTTGAATTATTCGAAACCTCTGAGGATTTAAGAGGATTTCACAATTTTAATCGCATTTATTAAATTATCCTATTTATTTCTGATATTCACTAACGCAGTTAGCTCTGTATATTTAGATATTTTGAGATGAAGCAACAATTTTAGTTATCCTATATTTAACCTCAATTTTGATATTCTTTATTTTGTTTTACACAGAAAAGGGCAGACCAGAATGTGGATCACATAATTGAATGCTATAGGCCCTAGCTCTATGAGGATGCACTGTCGAGTTGTCGACCTATTTTTGTTTTGGATATTTGTAATATACTTAGGCACATACATAATTATATATTATCTTTAAAAAAAAATTACTAATAAACTGTGAATAAATTGTGTGAGGCCTTCACGTCCATCGTTCAGCATATCGATGCTGCGATGAGCGAGAAGAGGTTCTGGACAGGCTGATAAACTTGTTTATTACATTTTTTTAATAAAACTTGGCGATAGAAAGCGTGGCTTTTATCTTCTCGTCTGGTCTAGTTTTTCTACTTAGTAAAGATAATACACATATATGAATAAATAATTTTAGCTTTGGAAAATAAAGTAAAACTCAAATCTTTCTAGTTACTTCATCATTCAAACAACAGCGACGTCACCCTCGATAAGAGGCCATCCCAAGAGTGTTCCTAATCATCTCATAATTAATTGATCGCTATACATAATAGCTTAAATAAGATAAAGGGGACCAGTGAGCCGGTAAAATTAGGTTGATGTGAAATATTAGTCAAGTCACATTCATAGGATAATTGGGGACAGTGCGTCATGAATAAAACGCTCGCATGCGTGCTAAACAATATTGAATAAATTGTTGCTATAAATACTTATTAGAAGTTCTAATTATTTAATGTATTTTGTCTTTAAAGCATATTTTGAAGAATTCGTCAGCGTGCATTTAAGTTTATGAGCAGACACGGTTATTGGCTGTTTATTGTCTGCAGTTAACGCGAGTAGACACAATTATTTGAACACAAATGTCAGTTCAAAATGCGAAATATATCTTAATAATATGTAATATAATATATGAATAGAATATCTAATTAATATTAAATTAGATATTAATTATCGGGCACGTTACGAAAGTTAACATCAATAATAATATATATTTCACGTTTTAAACTATTAAAAGTATGTATGTTATTTTATATTGAACAATTCTAAATTTATCTAACGTAAGAATATTTGAAAACTTTATTATTTTTTACATGTTATTGCACATGAAGGCACTATTAATTTAAAAATCGAAAATAAATTGAAAAAATTTTCGACTCGGGCAGGACTTGAACTGGCATGGCGGGAGATGTGCATATATCAATAAGTTGAAAAAATTCGACGATGAGGTGTAGGATTCGATTGCTCAATTGGTAGAGCAACAGCATGGAACGCTGACGATGCCGGTTCAAGTTCTGCCCGAGTCGAAACTTTTTTTAAATTTATTTTCGATTTTTTAAATAACGTAAGAATATTTTACTCTATCAGAAATGTATAGCAATTACAGGTAAATGTGGATAGCGGTACCTGTTTTAGTAATGTCACGTTTATTTACTTATCGTGACTGTTCTCATTATTCTGTATTACAAGCTGGAGCATAGTTAGTTACGTCATGTCATTGAAACAAGGGGTTGCTTAGTAAGGCTCTTAATGAAGATAAATACCGTTGTTCATTTATATGGATTAACTTTGCAATGTGCTGAAACTGTTAATTAACGTTTCGTGTCGATGCTAAAACGTATGACGTTAGGATGGCCTGTAACACGATAGTTAAACAAATTTTACGCTCGCGCAATGTAACTGTCAAAATTACATGGGAAAAATAGATATTTAAATGGGAATAATATGTCAATATCATAAATATATAGCAATTATTGTTTAATTTACCAGTAATTTGTTATATTTTTAAACGCATTTCAATTTTGGAAATAACGTCTAATCGGCAATAAAGATTTTCTTCAAACTTTCCCCAAAGTCATTAAACACTATCTAAAAAATGAAAGTAGCATATTTACGAAGGTCCTTATTGTAACTAAGTTAGTTATGTAGGAGGTTTGGAATAAATTAATTGAACCCACGCCCGTCAGACCCTAGCGAACAAATTGGCAATTGTTTCATAGTTTAACAAACCTTAATAGTTTAAAATAGTCTCTTAAACGGATCAAAGGGACCATAGTCGAATGCATTTAAATTTTGGATCCGATTGAAGGTTTGTTGTTTGTTTTAAAACGAGTGTTTGCATACGAGACGAATTTCGCTATAGTGAAAACTTAAGAAGTTAGTATGGCATATCTTCTTAGGCCACGTTCATAATATAACATTATGTTATATATAAACTTTAGCAATCGGGAAGTTTTGTGTTGGTATTCCTAAACGATGGAATCTTATGCACTACCCCTACATGTAGAAAAAGGCAAAATAAGATCAGTAGGTGTCCTTAAAATTTAACAATTACGTTACACTAGCTGTGCCCGCGGCTCATCCGCTTGGAATAGTTATTTCGGGCATCATCTTCTATATTTTTGCAGTTTTATAAATTGAAGCCGTTACGTTGAGCACGTCCTGTTGTTCTTGGGAGTTTATCTTAAAAGATAGAAAGTATGCTGTCGCAGATATTTTTTAGATCATTCAGAGACAATCATTATACCATTTCTTTTTTGTTTCCTCAACGGTTTTCGCAGCGCACTCACGCGCCTTTAAAGAATAATTTTTGACTTTTGTACATTTCCCTCTGTTTTCTTAGTTCTTCTCTTTTATTAGTTGCAGCTTAATTTTCAAATGTTTCGATTGGAACAAGTAGTTCCTGACATTGGCGCATTCAAACAAACGAATTCTCCATCTTTATAATAATAAGAATAATAAAGTACATTATTTCATATTTTAGGCATTGCTAGTTTGCAAGAATGCATGCAAGTGAACAGTATTTGTTTTCTTTCAATATCAAGTAATGGTTGCCATTAACAACACGTACCTGTTGACTCAATCTATCCAGCCTAAGAGTCATGTTGATAGAATTGGATTCGCTAAAGTACACCGTGTATCCCCATGCGGACCCACACCACTGACCCGTGGGGGGCGAGGGGCTGCTCTCTACAATTGTCATGTGCCCGTCTGGACAACCATCGGATGTGAATGACACGAATTTCCCCACTGTAAACGTGTCGAATGTTAGCTGAAACAAAGATAAATGTTAACTAATCGTAGCTATAAATAGAGGTCATTAACTAGTAATGTTAACGTTGGGTAATTAAATTTAAATAAAGAAAAACTAACAAACAAGCAATGTACATATAAAAATACCTGTATTATATCACCGTAGCTTCCTCCATTCGCCGTGAAATTAAGGAAACATACGAAAGGAAGGTGGTCTTCTCTTGGTCTTCTGACTTCTAATTCATAAGTTCGGCCTACGTCACCCATGTAGGTTCTATTACAGGCTGAAACAAAAGAATAGCGTGAGACGATTTGGAAACGCAGTGTGTCTTTTAGTTTGTAACATAAATAGAAAAAAATCTTGTTCATCCTCATCGGGTTAACAAGCACACTTCTGTGTCCGATGCAGTAATTATTTTTACTTTCAGGTAAGCAGTTGATGAAACTTGTCTGACTGAAAGTATTCAATGTGTTTATCGCCTGTATCAAGCGCAGGACTTGTGCACTCACCGCAATTTGGAAAAAGTTATCTTAAATTAAAAAATGTAGTTTTATTTTTAAAAAATATATAGAATATATAATAATAGATTTCAGTCTTAAAATTTTGTCTATTGTAGAATAGTGGCCTGAAGTGGACATCCTCATTTATCTTCAATGTGAACTGTTTTAAACGACTCCTTACTATGTCTTCCTAGCCCCACTGAAACCCCTTAAGGCTTAAATATAATATTTGCTTCGAACCAATAACAGTAAACTCTGGTACCTGTGTTGAAAAGCTTTCAGAAATAGATGAATGAGAAAAGTATTAAAGAACAGAGGACAATGGGAAGAAGCCATGTTTTTACAACCTTTTAAAAAGCCTTTTGTCCGCTGACAGCCGCATTAAGTACACAGCAAGGAGTGTTCACTCGCCGCGGACATTATTGTTCTTTTTAATTTTCTTTTCGAACCTCTGAATTGCTACCACGGCTCTGTCATTTTTAGCTTCGATTGAGTTATCGTTATGGGCTTTGTTTGCAAATTGTTTTAATCTTATCGATGTAAGAGAGAGCGCAACTTAAAAATCGATTATGATTTCTTTTAAATACGACTTCCGTGTTCCATGCTGTTATTCTGATTGACCTACAGTGTCCTCAATCGGTTAGAACAACAACACGGAACGGAAGTCATATTTTTTTTTAAATTTATAATCGAATGTGAAAAAATTTTCGGAGAGCGGAATTTCAACTACGTGAAAATTTAAAAATTAAATTATTTATAAGCTTCTTAAGAGGATGTATTACTTTTATAATCCATTCAGAATTGAAGAAGAAGAATGCAGAAAGAAGAAATGTAAAACAACAATTGACTTCTAATAAAACGATGTGTATATACAATAAATGAGTTGCATTTTATTTTAAACTACTATGATGTGAGACTGCTAGTGGCAGAGTTGACTAACTGCAATTTGATGACTTGAGTTATGTATTTATATTTTCATAGTCTAAATATGTTAATCTTCAAGAGCATAGTGACAGAAAATAGTTAGATAATTCTTATACAAAAATGAAAGTACAAATTCATTTTTTCTAAGTCCCTTTAAAAAGTTGTAACATAGGTATAGGTATGTACTCAACAAACTCGAATGTCGGTAAAGTATAATATCGATAAATCACTATTTACTTTTCCTATAAATTTATTTATTCCATGTACATACTTCTTAAATTAAAACACTGATAACGGTTTACACGTGAAATGTATTTGTAAATTTAAAGTTACAATTTATTTAACACAAGGCCCTTCTATCATTAACCACGGCTACTGCAAAGCAACTAAAACGTCCGTATTCATGCTTAAATAAATTGTAAATACGTTAAACCTTTTACATTTTAAACCTTTAAAAACTTAACATCAAAACCCCTAATTCAACATTAAGTACAGACAATACTTCTTATTTTATCTCAAATTATTATATTTATAAGGTATAATTTTAATCTTATAGTTAGCCTATATAATTAGTTGTAAAACATAGTACCTATCTTATTTATTAAATTTTACATCTGTATTATTTTATCGACACTCGTTACCTGTACCTGGTACAGTCGACAACCGCGTCGGCATCCTTTTAAATATTATAGTATTTTTAGTCGCGATTATGAACTCGACCTTGATGTACGTCGTCACGCGTCTGCGTTTACGTATCTTTAAGTGATTGATTGTAATTTCTACAGATGTGTTATTCTTAAGTGGATGTGTAGTGTCTAATAGTTAGTAATTAGTGCAAGTGTAAAACAATACATACATACGACTTCGGTACGTTTTGCTGTGACCGCGACATCGTTATTCAATATCTTTATCTTTCACGTAAGTAAATAGACTTAATTTTAATATTTTGTTAGGTCGCTTATTTGTTTGCTATATTTTACCATGACATGTAGGTATTGGTTTCCTTTTCGTCTCGAGTCCTTCGAACAAATGCAAAACAATTTGTATCGGTGTCCACTTTTTACCACAAGATATTATAAACGTAAATATGATTCATCGAATAATACGACTATTCACAAAACGTACTGCAATACACTTCAAAGCTGTACGCTAGGTGTAGGGCATTTCAATAATCTAGCAATAAATAAAAGTAAATAGCACCATATAACACCTTTTATCCTATTGCCCTCATAGGTTTTCAGAACGGTTCCATTTACACCCTGTATAGACAAGTGTAGACTGTAAAACAAAAGACTAATGACGTAACTACAAGAACTGTCACTTATCGTTCATTTTTTTTAAGTCGTTACCTTATCAAAGAAAATGACATTCAGACATATGGCTAGTCACTATCTAAATGCAACGACCAAGACAGTTCGAATCAACGTAATTGCGCCGTAATAAGGTTACTGCAACCAACAGAAAGGAGAAACAAAACACAATTGTAAAAGCGCAAATCTCTCAGTGTCGCATTAAAAATTAACATTCCCAGCTCAGACGGCACTCAGGGCTATAGTGACAAATAACACTATTTTTAATTGTAGACTGGTGTAACTATAGTGGATGGTTGGACTTTGTTTTATCCATCTCTGTATATAACGCCTTTAAGAATTATTATGATAAATTAATTTTATAAGGGATTTTCGCCTATTTGCAAAAGCTTGAGTTCTTCGACGGTCGTTATTGAGAATTAATTCTCGACGTTTGGTTATACCCGAAACGTGTCGAGAAACCCACGAAGCTGTATGGTAAGAAAGTTATAGATTAAATTAGATTTTATTGACAATAATATAATAGTTTCACTATGAACATCTAAAGCAAGCGATTCCCTTAGTTAATACTTAGCTACTCAATGCACATATAAAAAAATAAATAATACAATTCTTTAAGTAACTATTTTGAGGTACTACAACAGTTGAAACTGTGGTTTATTAAACCTATTAATATACCACGATAGCAATTTCGTTTTCAATTTAAATTTTTTATATTATCTTAAGACCAATTCGGTGCATCTGTAATTGAATAATGTAACTTAGTTAATGCAGTTAGTGCACATATCAATAAAGCATTATTCTAATTGCGGTACATACTATCATTAGTTAACTAATATACTTCGCGATTTAAACCGTTAAAGTATTTTACCCTTGGTAAATGTCGTGACAAGCAAAGAGTACGTGAACTTAACACCTAATTAAACGGCTCGTGGTTTTTTTGTTAATTGCAGCTATATTTCCAGTAAACGACCGCGTACGAGGGTACGATAAATGTAAAAGCTTTCTACCGTCGCAATTAAACAAGGTTTATTACAGGCCTTTGGATATTGTTTAGGAAATGTTTATTAACCGCTATATATGGTTACTTTAACTACACATTTGGATGTCGCGATTAGAATGTTTATAGTTTTCGGAATTTGATTATCAAAAAAGAGAAAATTGCTAACTTAAGAACATTACATAAAACAGCAATATTTTTATCAATCTACCCACATGCGACTTTTAACAAATTAAGACAAAGGATTACGTTTTACATTGTTATATAATAACATATGACGACATTGTCTGTATTGGTACAGATCAGATTATTATTGAAATATTTTTTTTTAATACCACTGCTCCACTACAGTGGTACGTAAGGAATCCTGGGATTGCATTGCACTGCATTTTTATGATGCCAATGCTGCTAAGTGACCATATTTCAGACTTAAAGGCCCATTAAGGAAGACCTTAGGGTACCTCACAGGCGTTAAGCGCGTCTTGATTGTATTAAACGAAAGACATTTGAATTATTATAAAATGTTTTTAAATGATAGATGTGTGTCTGTCCCGTGTTCTAAGCAAGGATTACCAAGATTTTTATGTGTTACATACCTGTGACTTTTATAAGTAAGGGATTTTTCCTTGAATTTCAAAGGTCGCGATAATTCCACGTAATTTTCCTCCAAGATAATAAAACTTTTTTTTTCCTTATATTGATCATTGTTTAAAAGCGCAGATATCACCACCTCTGTGATCTGTCGGAAAAATGTTCCCAAAGGAAACGCTGAATTGTGGGAACCGAGAGTAATCTAGCTCTTTCAATCTTCTTTGTCGAGTCTTTTGTGTAAGACAATAATTATATCCGAGCATTTCTAGCGTAAAAACGTATTTCAAAGCAAGGAACTGAGGCGCTTGTTTAATTAGGTGTTTAATATGCTTCGAGGGATTTCTGAGGCGCTTACTAAAAATAACTAAAATTATTATTTCTGCTCTAACTCCTACACTCTAATACAATGTGGTACAGTGAGCTATTATTTATTGCCCTGAATTCTTCTTATTTCTTGAACGTTTAACATTTAAAAATACATCATTAACGACCACTTACTCGTACTTATATTAATATACACGTTATCTGAGTTAATTTTTATAATATTCCAAAATGGGTTATGTTAAATATTGTCAGTAGTTTACACATGTAGTGTATTTAGATAACTGTTTAAGTGGTTTAATACGCCATATAATATTTGTTAAGTACCCCCGTGACCACGCTCTAAAAGCCGATGGTTCGTACTTGCAAAAGTTTGTGCTGTCTTTTGTTTGGGGGGGGTGTCCTTTTTATTTTTTTTGTTTTAAAGCGGGAAAATGATTTTTACTTCGGCCCGAGTTGGATGCTTCTGCGGCAGCCGTGTCTCCCCGCGCCCGCCCCTTTTGGAAAGCATCCGAAACTTCGTACTTGCTTAAAATCTTTTTTCTTTTTTTTTTTTTTTAAACGTAATTCAGGTAATATTATTTGGGCATTTGAAAATGTTTTCTTAAAAGCTTATGAATGTGGCCTTAATGTTACAACCAAATGTATTACAAGCAACGACGTAGAAATGTTGACAAAGACTGTTGCACTAATGGACATTTTATTTAACTAAAAAACGCTACATTAACGTAAAATCGAAAGAAACATCCAGAGAATAAAAAGGTGAACACGAAATGGGCATGGACTAGAGAGGTTCTCAAGCATTCACGTCACGATTCTAAAAATTTGGTCGAGTACAACTTTATATCCTCTCGGGAAAAATTATTTAGTATTTTCTACTTCGTTCCGTTTGGTTTTGCTTTTATATTGAATTTATGCTCTATTTTATTTCGTTGGCCTTTTATTGAGAACATTTATCATCATCGTCATATCATGATTATCATCAGCCATGTGGGATTTAACATTTATTTATGTACCTTTAATGTATTTATAGAATCTTTATTTTTTTTAATATCCTACTCAATATTGTAAACTTTGGAATCATTGGCGTTGCGTTGAGCACGTAAAATTCGGTTTGAGTCCTTTGTAAATAGAACAGATAGTATCACTTAGACTGGACACAAGTCAAACAATAAAAAGGGACATATATATGCTTTGTATAGAGGAAAAGCGATTTTCCGCTATCTATCAAAATAACGAATATTCTGTGGTTTAAGACATGGTTTTTTTAAAGATTTACAAAGTCATTTATAGAGAACTTCATAAACTGGTATGTTACAGTTTTTAGGTTATATTTACAAATCCAAATGTATTTAAATAACAAAGTTTGTGGGTAAGATATAAAAACGAGTTCTAATAGTAGCAAAAACAAACTCGGGGTAGGACTATAGGTTGGGCACATCAAAGTTATTCGATGATATTAAATTATGTATGAAATATAACTTAATACCAAGTTATTTATTTATAAAATGGGCTCTAATTTATATATCATAATTCCCAGTCCATTATTATACTTGTATGCAGTATAGTAGTTATACTTCTATAGATAAATCTTTGTTTTTTTTTTTTTTTAATGATACATTTTGTTATGAGAACAAAAAATCATGGGCTTATTTAAATAAAACACTTTAACCGTTTAAAACACGATATATTAGTTAAACTTATTTGACTAAAAAGCATCCGAAACGTCAAGCCGAAGTTAAAAATAATTTTTAAATCAATAATTTTACTAATGTATCGCGTTTTAAACCGTTAAAGTGTTTTATTCGAATGTTTACTACTCGCGTAAACTATAGAGTATTTAATTAAGGGCTTGATCATGCACTTGAAGGTAGATAAAATACCACAGCCATGTATCATCTAAACAAGATGGACCTATTTCGGCTTTGGAATTCGAAAATCCAATGACTGACACAGAAATGCGATTAAAGTTCATAGTTTTTTTGTCTGTGGTTTTTGATCCAGACAGGAATTTCCATATTTCTATCATCTATCGAAGTCCAACGTGTTTCAGTAAATTAAAAAGCCATTATAAAAATGTTGGGGAACATTTGATTATCATTGCTACCATTATACCAACGAGCGAATCGAAATGTATGTATAAAATGTAAAACGACGGAAGACAAATCGTTTTAAGCGTATTTACTCAAACTAACTATAGACTAACTACAGACAGAGGTAACTAATTACTTACGGGTGCAAGCCTTCGGCTCGTCGCTCTTATCTCCACAATCGTCTTCTCCGTTGCAGTATTTATCTAAGGATATACACTGGCCCGTATCACAGAGCAATTCACTAAGTCTACACGGGCTCGCCATTCCCACGTTTCTTGGAAATTTCACTTTCCTAGCGACACTAATTTCTGATATCACTTCGACACTGTCATCGATAAAATCGTCACTTAGGTCCTGCGGGCTACATAGTTTAAGGGATAACAGAACGATGATAAACAAAATAGTTCTGTTGTTCAGGATGTAGAGGTACTTTTCGGAAGTCATTTTGGGTGACGTTGCTTTTGTCACAACATTCTCAAGCTGGAATGAGGAATCTGAAACAAAGAAAAAAGCAAATGAATTCTCTATCCGTATTTTACAAGTTTGTTAAACGCCTCGACAAGGAATGGGGGTTTTGTGTTCGAATATTAATAGACAAGTGTGCGCGAAAAATTATAAATATAATAAATTGGTTGAAAAAAATCGACGACGACGAAGCACTCGGTAGCTCAATTGGTTAGAGCAACAGCACGTAAAGTCGTGGACGCCGTTTCAAGTCCTGCCCGAGATGTTATTTTTTTTTCAATTTATAATCAATTTTTGATTTCTTATTACATTCGCGTGTTGAAACCAATAATGTTACAGACACAGAAATATGTTGACATCACATAGAGAAAAAACGTCTCTTAAAATTAACTTATTATGATTTTTCGTTAATATCTGTCAAGTTTTAAGAAAAGAGAATACAAAAATAATATTTTATTGAAAACTTAGACTTCAATCAATACTTAGTTACAATACAATTTTTCGTGTCCTGTATATCTATTCATTGTCATTATTATAAGTACATTTGAGAAAAATATCATAAACACACTTTTGCTATGTTTTCTGGTAACACACCAGCAAACATAACGTCAATAAAACCCTTGTAACTTCCCCTACATTCATCTCTAACAAGTGTGCTTATGTAAAAAGCTGCCCTAAAAATTTCAACGCATATTTGGAGATAGTTATTCACCCGTTGTGCCTTTAGTGAACGTGTGAAAACTGACGTCAAAAAACGCTGCAGAATCTCATCTGTAGACAGAATGGAATTTTTCATAAACCTGTAATGAAACTTGCTCTTCATCAAACAGAAAAAAAAAATGCAACTTTGAAACCCTGGCTATAGCCAGGGTGTGAAAATTAAGCGCGCGAAAAATTATAAATTTTCACGGGAGCTCGCAAAACAAAAGCATTATTTATATTTCTGCGCTCAGTATGGGTTTTCTCTGAACATCATTAATCTATATTACGACCGTAAATAAAAATGCGACATCTGTTATTTATGAAACTATTTATTGCGTTTTTTACTCCTTTACAACCATATGTATTTTTGACACCGAAAAAACCTTGTACGCAAATATAAATTATTTTGTATGACAATATATATTCCGATGCAAGCTTATGTGTAGACATTTTATTGTAGATAAAAGTATTTTGGTCACTTTATAACTGTTATTGATAGTTAGATCATATGACATACTAGCCGTGTCAGCGACTTCGTCCGCGTAGAGTAGTGATTTTCGGCATCCTAATTTGTTTTTGCAAACCCCCTTTTTATAAGCATATAAATTTAAGCGTTTACGACGTTTGAAGCGCAACGGGATACGAGTTGCAAGTTAATATCAAAAGATAGACATATAGTATTGCAGACATTTTTAGATCATTTAAAGAGGAATCAATGTTTAATACAAATTTTTTGGGTATCTTGAACCGTTTTCGTAGCGTACGCACCTAAAACCCATAAACATAGATAATGTGCTCCGTTTTGTTTACATTTATCGCTGTTTCTTAGATCCTATTAGTCACAGCGGCGATGTTTTATAGCCTATAGCATTTCTCGATAAATGCTCTACCAACACAAAAACATTTTTTCAATTCGAACCAGTTGTTCCTTAGATTAGCACTTTCAAACATACAAACCAACTCTTCAGCTTTATATATTAGAATAGCTTATAGGTAGATTTGACTTGACTGTTTTTCCAAAACTAGAGTTGAAGCGATTAAATAAAAATACAAAATACTACGACTAAAATAAATAAATATCTGTTTATAAAATATTGTAATTACACTGCACTAATTTCGCTTTAATTGGGCCGTACTTTCGTCCCCGTCAATAACTGTGTTTATTAATTTTATATGAAACACAATAGAACCGATATTTGAAATAGACGGTAAACAAGTAATTAATTCAAATTAATCAGTTCCGATGATACGCTGTTGAATTGCCTCGTTTAAAATTAACTTTCCTATTAACATTGCCTTTGATGTTATATCGCGCTATGACATAAAAACCTACTAGATACAAATAGTAATAAAACTCCATTAAAAAAATATTATAGACAGATACTTTTAAGTAACAACAATTTATATACTATTCTATACTAATATTATAATGCTAAAGAGTTTGTTAACTTGAACGCGCTAATCTATGGAGGAAGGCTTAAGAAGTCTATAAAACACGCTGCAACGAAGATAGTGGAAACACGGGGAAAATAATTGATCTGTGTTACGTGCGCTACTAAAACGTAAAATAATTTAAGCATTTATTATCACATACTCGTACATGCAAACGTAACTTTATTTAAATAAATCGCTTTAAACCGTTTAAAACGCAAAATATATCCGTTGACAAATTTTTAATTGATTTTAAATACGTCCTGACGTTTCGCATACTTTACAACTGCAAACAATCAGTTTCTTAATTTAGTAACTAATATACTTCACGTTTTAAACAGTTAAGAGTGTTTTATTGAAGTCAGTACTTCTTTCATAAACTATTGCCAATCCTTAATGTTATAATAGTAACATCTTTGTTTAGAGGCACTACTAGGTCTCGTTTGAGGAAATCGTGCCAGACCATTGGTTTGAACAAAATTATGGTTACTTTACCAGCCGTTTACTAACACATCAATGACCGAAATTAGGTATACACTCATTAAATAAAAAGGTTTTTATTATTATTTGTAAATGGGGATGAGTATAAATATCTATATATGTGCGAAATGAAACAAATCGTTGCGTTTATCTGAAAAGATTTCAATGTTTTTTATAAAAAAAGGTTTACCTGAAAATTAACGAATTATGTTATACATGCATTAAATAATATCAATTTTTGATGTGTTAAATCAACCTGATAATTCTATTCACACAATTTCGGTCTTAAGCGTTAGCCTCCATCTTTTTTTCCCACATTGACGTGGCCTGACAAGATTTGACATATTTTTACTCAAATTGGAGGCCTAACATTTTTTGGTAATTAAAAAACTTAGCCTTCCCGAGCGTATTTTAACCTCTCCTATTACGAAATATAAAGCCATTTTTTGATAAACACAACATTTTTTTTTTAAATTATTCAGTAAGACACAAGTACGACAAACCCACGATCAACAGCAACCCGTGCTATTGCTCTAATAGCTCAATCGTACAGTTTGTAAACGACTGTTTATCTCGATTAGATGTAGTTAATAAAAATTTAATTTTTGGAGAAACCACTGCTATACTTTGAAAATATTGAAAAATAGTTTATATTTACAACTAAAAATACATCAAAATTTATCTTGCACCGCTTGTCATTACTACAGGCAGCGTTCCAAAAGCAGCTTCGAAATTAAAATTGCGTCGTGCTGTAATTAATCCCCTACATAACTAACAGCTCTTAACGATACCCTGTTCATAAATGTAGCCAAAAAGTGTGTGAACTCGCATGAAATTAGTGTTGCGCACTAATTTCATGCTGTAAAGTGTGGCCTGCTGCAAAAATTAAATTTAAGTGGAATATTTCCGCGGCGTCTAATAGGTGTAATTTGGTGGTTATTTTAAATTAGCTATGGATTTAGCATTTAAATCGTAATTAAAATTTTTGTTTACAATATTCTGACCGCTATTGTCGTAGTTACAATGTGATTATATTTATATCAAATACGACACGGTAGCTTATTATATGTACATACAAGAAAAACTGTAAACGATTATTATGATGTCGATCAATATTTACTATATAATAGTTAAAACATATTTTTAGCGTTTTATACAGTTAAAATGTTTAATTTTAGTGTTTTTAACTTCAAGTTATTGAGGTTTCCGCAGCAACCAAAGTTCCATATTCTCTACCTTCAAGATACATAATCTAGACTAATATTATAAAGAGGAAAGATTTGTATTTTTGTATGTAATGGATAAACTCAAAAAGTACTGTTAGTTTATTTTTAATTTCTCTAATTTAAGGTAAATACCTAAGAATAGTTCCCAAGCGAGGTTAGTAAAAGTTCGCCGTATTGCAGAGTCTTTTTCTGAAAACGATGGTCCGGAAAGTATTAGAGTGTACGCGTCCCAATTGCGAGCCAGAGAATCTAGCGTCGAACGTTCAGTTCGTCTTGCAGAGCGAAATGCAAGATCGTCGCAGCTATACGAAGGACAGTCAAGCACCGAGCGCTCGCAGCGACCTGAAGGTTAGGCTAGGAATTCGCGAACGCGTGCACGGGACTCTAACACTGAACGCTCGCAGCGGCTCCTGATACAGCGAGATAGATAGACAACGGTCGTTAACAGCTAGGACGCGCAATACTTTTTTAGTGATTCATGGTCGTTTTAGTTAGCATGCTTATAATTTAAATATCTGTACCTATTTATGCCTACCCGTGCGAAGCCGGAACGGGCCGCTAGTATTAAATAATTTAGTAATATTCCTAATAAGATGCGCTGTTGGTGTATTTTGGCTTTGGATACTTGGAAATCGACAGACTGAGAGGGGGAGGGGGAGGGAGTTCGGGGGTCTCGGACGTTATTTTCGATATTTCTGCCACCCATATTAGAATCAGATTTCTAGATGAAGTCCAACACGTTTGAGAAAAAAAACATCTATTAGAAATGGTGGGGTTCGATCCTAAGTCTCATTTATTAACCATACATTTTTACCATGACACCAATGATCCCGTCAAACCGCTTATCTACCCACACTACACTTCGCAGTCCTACACGAACCTACGTCAGTCACTTGCAACACAGCGTATTATCTGCAACGGTTTTATGATAGAATTGCAAATTTAAACCCTTTGTAAGCATTTCAGTTTCGGAAACACAATTTCGCTTTTACGGTCATTTGCATGCTGTGTCGCAGTTGCGGGGATTTCCGAATTGTTCAAGAGCATTACCAAACAAGCTATAACGCATTCATTACCAGATGTCATTATTTCATTAAACTAATTTTAAATAAAACACTTTTCTCGACGTTGCGGATGCTT